GTGTGCTGTATAGTAGAGGGATGTTGCCATGACAATAACCTTTCTACCTTAGGTCAAGGGAGAGCATACTAGATCAGGTGTCTGGAGATGATCTAAAGGATAACACTGCTGCATGCCTACAAAGAAAGCTTGTACACAGAGGTACTTTCCGTGTACCTTTCGGTTTCAAATCACACGTGTTCTTCGTTTAAATGTGTTCATTGCTGTTTATACAGTAGAAAGGTTGCTTAGTATTCAAGTGAGAACAACTTCAAGGATAATTGATTTGGAAAAGTGAAAGACGCAGCATTTTATGAGTCTCAATCAGTTGGGAAAATTCAGCCCTGTAACCATTTTTGCTGTCAGTTTGCCGTGCAAGAGGCCTTCAGGCAAAATGTGACAGAAGGCCTCTCTCAGTGTAGCTGTGTTTGTAACAGAACATATAGTGCTGGCTCTGTCTGATGCTACTGTTAATGTTCAATAAAGCCAACCGGAGCGAGGGGCTTGACTCTCATTTTATTGCTGTGGATGTAAAAATCAATATTTTATTAATAATCTGAAAGTGTTTTGAAAGAAATTACTGGGGGGGAGCTTTTGGATGCGACATGCCGCTGTCTGTTTTTCTTCAGTTATTACAACACTATCGTTTTGATTTTGATGCCCAGCACAGTATAAAGCTGTTGCGAAGAACAATATTACATGAATATACAATCAGGCGAGCTTCTCCACGCTGTCAGTGCCGGTGTAATTTCTAAGATGAGATGCATAAAATCAGTAGAGATGGGAGGAGGGCTTTTTTTTTTGATCCTCCAATGTATATTCTTTTAGCTCTCTGTGTTGTGCTGTCTCAGTGGTAATAATGGGTTTCTATTTATTCCCCCGGCACATGGATGAGGGCTTTCACAGTTCCTTTGTTTCCTCCCATACTATTTCCTCCTGTTTCTTCGCGCAGTGCAAAGACACGAGTTTGACATCCCACAGCCTCACTCCCCTTTTTCATTTGTTTCTATCTCAGTATTGTCATTCTCATCCTTCCCTCCTTTCTGCCAGCTTCTCAGCACCGCTCCCTCATGTTTACATATTGCCTGATCGGAAACAACAAAACTGAAGCTCGCAGCGCTCGTGTGCTCCCCCTCTCTCCCTTTTCCTTTCTCGGCTTTCTTCTTCCACATTTGTCCATCACGACTTGTCTGCGAGTAACACAAAGGAAGAACCGCAGGACAGTGAGGAAATGAAATGACACATTGAAATGCCTTTTGTTGGCAGGTAGCATTGTAGTTACCGTCACAGCAGTGCCAGAGCAGTTAGTAGGTTTGGTTCATGTTGTTCTTGAGGTAGAAATTTCTGAAAGGTGACACCTTGAACAGTGCGCCTTCGGAGGAGGAATTATGTAGTCGCTGCAGGCTGCTGTTGCCAGCTTAACACAAATGATAGTGAGGGTGTCTCTATTAGATTCACCCACACCTACATTGACCGTGCAGCACAGAAAGCTACACTGAGAAACTGGGATAACAGATTTCTAGAGTCCTCCCTTTCCCCTCACTCCTCCAGCCCTCGTCGTTTTCCGTCTCCAGCTGTCTCACCTTACTTTTAGCGTCAATTTGAAAAAATGGGCTCAGGAAGTCACTTTGCAACAGCCGAGTGACATAAAACTGTAAAATCAGACTAAGTTTGATTTATGCGCCCCATTAGCGGGGAATAGTGTTCCATCATAAGTAGCCTGTCTGTCTGGAGGCTGTACGCGAAACCCAAACCCACGGTCGTACAGATAGGATTTTACGATCTCAGCTGAATGATGGGATTATCATAGCTGTAATTATAGTGCATTGTGTATGTGTGTGCTTGCCTGATGGAAGCTTTTGTGCAACATGCAGCGGTTCCCTATTTACTCAGGCTGACTCACGATGAATGAAGAGAACAACACTCGTGCTTGTTTCATGTTTAGGAGATTTTCTAACAAACGGCAGAATAAATGCGGTAACGACCTGCTGTAGTCTCGTGGAAGAGTGCGATGAATCACAGCACGGCACCGCAGCAGGGGGCTTAGCTGCTAGACGTTAACGCCGAGCCTCGTCGTCTGTCAGAAGATGCATAACGCCCTGAAAGTAACACTTTGCTTCTTTTCCCTTTCCCATTCAGCGAGGGAGGAGAACGTGGCCACCTTCCGCGGCTCGGAGTACTTCTGCTACGACCTGTCGCAGAACCCCATCCAGAGCAGCAGCGACGAGATCACGCTGTCCTTCAAGACCTGGCAGCGCAACGGCCTCCTCCTGCACACGGGGAAATCCGCCGATTATGTCAACCTGGCGCTGAAAGACGGGGCGGTCTCGCTCGTCATCAATCTAGGTTCTGGCGCTTTCGAGGCCATCGTCGAGCCGGTCAATGGAAAATTCAATGACAACAGCTGGCACGACATCAAAGTGACACGCAACCTGAGACAGGTAATCGGGGGTAGCGGCGATGGACGGAGTTCGGAGACACAGTTTTGTTTTGTTGTTTTTGCTTTAGATGAGCTGCTTCTGAGAGCTTCTGAGAGGGAGCTGGGATTAAGAATGTCACTTTGTTCTGATTGGTTGTCATTCCATTGCTACAATTCAGACAGATGCCATTATACTTTTACAGAGATATCTTTTATTTTAATTTAATGTCATTGTCTAATTTCTTTCTTTCTTAGCAACTAGTCAATAAGAACATGGAAAAGCAGTCCGCAGCATATTCTAGGTACCGTCTTTCTAGGTGTTTTCCTGTCTCCTGTTTAGCGGCGTATTGAACTTGAGCTCCCTGTGTTGTCAAATTAAAGTTATCAGATATTTCTGTTTTGCTTCACATTCCTCTAAGATGACACTTCCGTCAGGCACTGTCACTATCGCTTTCCTTTGGGAAACTGTTCGTATGCTTGTGTAGACTACACACTTCCACTTTAAAGGCAGACACAGTGTTTGCCTTTCAGCTGTCCATTAGCGCTGTATTTATAGCACAGATGATCGTCAGGCTTTTTAAAGGCAGAGATACTTCTGTATGGCATAAACAGAATTAGTAATGCAACATGTATTGTTTCCTATCATATTATAGTAATTTATAATCAGCTTTTCGGTTAAGTGCATACATTAGATCTGTCTACAGGCAGCTATATAAAGAGTGGAGGTAGTAGCAGCGACACGTGTGCGTTCGCTCATTGTGTCGGCCGACCTTTAGTTTGTCGGCAAGGTGAGACAGCCTTTCGTGTTGCTCTCAGAGCAGCGGAACAAGTAAGTGGTGATTTTCTGACCCTCCCTGACAGTAAGCTTTTGTCCCACAGGTTAGTAAATAGTTGTTGCTGAGAATCCCAACAGGATAGCCCGCAGTTTAGAGGTTAGAAGCTAAGAGTCAAGGGCTGCTGGCCTGCTTTCTCTCTTTCTTTCTCTCAACAGATCTGTCTTTCTATCATTTTCTTTCTTCTTCTTTGAAAGGCACAATTTGTTAGACTACAGGTGAAAGAAACACTGCAAGATTTGTGGGATTTAAGCCGTCCTACACAAATTTGATGTGAAAGTCCTCTCTGTGGTCCTCGTTGATGTTTCCATGTAGGACTCTGGTGTCGAATACTTGGCTAGGATGGCACGATGCCTCGGATCTCTGGCAAATCGCGCAGTGTTTATTCACTGTGACACTAACTCATCCATGATATAAGTCATTTTTACTACTAACCAATATCTAACCAACTAATGTACTAACTAACATCCTAATTCCTCATCGTTGGTTTTGGTTTTTCTTTTCTGTCCATCCTTATTAACAACCTTTTTTGTTCACTATTCTTTTGATTTCCTTTCTTCCCCTTTTTCTGGAAAGCAATCAGGCATTGGACACGCTATGGTAAACAAACTACATTGTCTGGTAGATATCATTCTTATTGTCTTTTTTTTGGGTTTGCCGTGTGTCCCCCCCCCCTCTCTTCTTTTATTCGTTCTCTTTGAGTTCCATCCTAGACACTCTTATCAAAAAATGAGGAGATGGGTTTGTATTACCAGGCAATTCTTTCTTCGCTTCTTCTCAATTTCCTCCCTGACCTGCCAACAACCTCCTTCTTTACCCCACAATCCCCATCCTGTTTTTTTTTCACTTTGGCTTTTACTTTTTTCTCTTTGTTTCTTCCACATTACTGCAGATTTACGACAAATAAAAATAATTGACTTCTTTGCCTTTGTCAGGGCAACTTACTTTTTATTTTTATTTTTTTCACACAAAAAGTCCCCATTTTTTGTGAGGACTGTCGTCCAGAACTGACAGAAGCTTGCCACAATCCCAAAGATGGTGACCTCGACAACGGGCCCTAAAAGAGAAACGATCAAAAAATGGCAACCCCTAACCTTCATTGCGGGAGCTCTGACAGTTGTTTCCAACACACAGTGACGCATGGCATGCCCACACCTCATTGACCTGTCATCACCCAAAGTCATATAACAAACATGTCACCCAGAATAACCACTAACACTCTAATTCATCCGCTCACCTTCCACCTATCACCTTCTCATTCACTTTGCCCTCCCCGTGTGTGTTTTCGTAGCATGCTGGTGAACGTGACGTTCTGTGTGTTTTGACTAACTCCGATCACCCTTGCCCCCGGGCCCATATGCGTAACATATCCAAGAATAAGCAAACTGATCTAGGATTATTGGTCTGGTGTAGTGACACGGGCACTGCAAAGCATGACACCTGAGCTAAACCTGATCAAAGATCAGCATGAGCTATTCTGAGAGTGTATATGAATATGGGCTCTGGTCTTGATTGTGCACGAGCGCAGCAACCTGTGTGGCTTGCCCCAGCTTTGTATGGCACCATCGATCCACTTTCCCCCCTTACATGTCCAGTTAAGTGTGTTTAATTTGCCTTCTAACAGTGATGACCTTGGTTTGCACATGGACGTGGTGTGAAAAGCCTTCCCTTTGTTTTGCATGTGTGTGGGTCTATACATGTAGTCGTCTGCAAGAGAGGCGAGAATGTGACGATCGTTGGCGTGAGAGAGAACGTGTGGAGCGAGTGAGGACGTGCGTGTGCACGTCTGTGTGTTTAAGTGCAGTCACATAGTGTACTGTAAATGTCTGTGTCTGCAGTTACAGATAAATCCCGAAACCTAAGACAAGTGGAATCAATTTGTCCTTGGTTTGAACATTGTACTAACCCTCCCCCAACCTGAAGTTTCAGAACCAAACCTAGAATCCATTCTCTTACTCCCATCAAAGATAAAGAAAATATGCCTCTGCCATATTTTCTTTACCTGTCCTGTGAATCCTATGGCAAAAATTCCATTAACAAAATCAAAAAACGCTGTCTTATCCAAAGGTTCAATGAAAAACCAACCTATCGTCAGGAGTCTTATAGCTCGTTTTGAATGCAGACCAAGGAAGGAGGTGTGTTGTATCCGCAGCATAGAATCCCAGAGTGTAATAGCTTGGCTTTGGCTATGTGTTGCCCCTCAACAGGTCACAATCTCTGTCGACGGGATCCTCACCACCACTGGCTACACCCAGGAAGACTACACCATGCTGGGATCTGATGATTTTTTCTACGTGGGCGGGAGCCCCAGCACTGCAGACCTGCCTGGATCTCCAGTTAGCAACAATTTCATGGGCTGTCTGAAAGAGGTAGGAGGGGCTCGAATGGGAAAATAGGTGCATTATCAATTAGCGTACCATGCTGGTACTTCACGCTCACGCTCTCTCAATCTGCGCAGTTGTTTTCAAAGTGTACAAAATGATAATCATTATACTGGCCCTGAAAAGAAAGAGAAGAAGAAAAAAGAAAATTACATTATCAATTAAAGCTGCTGAGTTGGCAGAGGGAGTATCAGACTTTCAATATTCGCCCCCTTAATCTAATTCATAACACTTACTGCAGTTTGTATGTGAGAAAATATTCCAAAATTGCTTCTGTCACATGTAATTTGCAGCATCAGCTTGAGTGCGCTGCTAAAACGCCTCCCAATGGGCGGCAATCTGAAAGAAATATTTGCTTATGATGAAATACGAAAACGCATTGTTGTTTTGGGACATTTAGAATGTATTTGCTGGCTCTTTGAGTTTGTTAGAACCAAAAGATATATAAAGTACCCCATGATTTTTATTCTGCTCACCATTACTTCTCCTGCAGCCAGTAATAATAATAATAAAGTGCGGGCTGGTGGCTTTTCATGGCTGTAAAAAAGTCTGCATTGATTCCTGCACTTCAGCAGCACCGTCAGGAATAACCTTCGCATTTTACTTGTGATTCAGTTTGTCTTTATATAATGATACTTCTTATTATAAATGATATTTTATTGCTTTTTTAAAGGTATTTCTGAGCTCTTACTGGGCGGTTACACTATTCTGTTTGAAGGCTGTACTTTTCTACACTTAAAATCTTTTTCTGTTTTCATATGATAACATTAAAGCTTCTGCTTTAAACTGTTGAAATGACAGAAAACCAACTCCTCATGATGGGACTCCTACCTGAAAACTGTTGCCATAGTTATAGCACCAGTGCCGAAAACGTGAATAACAACAGTGGTTCTGAAAAGATGCAGGCAGTCGTTCAGTGGGGGATATAATTATTTAATCCCCTGCTGAATTTACAAGTTTGCTCACTTACAAATAAATGAACAGTCTCTCGTTTTTATGCTAGTTTCATTTTAATGGAGAGAGACAGAGGGCGCCAATATGGAGCCCGAATTCTGGCTGTGATATAGGGGATCAAATACTCAATAGATGTTTCTCTCTATTAAAATAAAGCTGCCATAAAAATTAGTGACTGTTCACTTATTTGTGAATGTGTGAAAGTGAGAAAACTTACAAATTCAAGCAGGGAGTCAAATAATTATTTCCCCCACTGTACATAAAACACAAATTGTGGCTCCGCAGTGTAGTGGTTAACACACTCTTCATCTTAGACATGAAAGAGACACATTCCCAGTGTCAGTCCCTAGCCTAGATGAACGCGAGGGTTGCATTAGGAAAAACATCTGTCATAACGACTGTGCTGAATCTAACATGTCCAAAATGTCGATAGGGCTGATTTATAGGCCAATATTAGCCATTTCCTGGTGCGTTAGTATTTTGGATTGTTATCTGTGTATCTGTGGTTTGCCATAACATGCAGTATTTCAATAAGAGGTAACTATTAGCTGGTATTTTATTATTGTATCTATTGGTATTACTGTTTCCAATGGCAGATGCATGAAAATTAAAACAATAAAGAGAGGACAGGAGAAACACCCTTCAAACCTGTTAAGAATGTTGACATTTCCCAGTTTTTCCACCAGAGGGCACTCTGTAACATCCCTGCTGGCAACGTGTGTTTGGAAGCCACACACAGCGGACACAAACACAACAACCAGCTAATCTCAGCAGAGCTGGGCTAACTCTACTTGGATAAACAATGACACATAAAACTGTTTTAGGAAATCTGGTTATTTTTCATGGTTCTGATATATCGAAGTGTCAGATTGTTGTTTCTTGGTCCAAAAAGACATGCCAATGGAATAGTGACTTAAATTGGAGTTTATAAAGGCCAGCAGAGAGCGACTCCTTCAGTTGCCCAAAAAAATATAGTCGTATAGAAGACTGAGTCATTTGGCGTACTGCTCATTTGACCTGTGAACCTAATGAATTTTTTCGGTGAGTTTATGATCTCAATTACGAATTTTAAGCGTTATTGAACACATCATCATGTCCATTTTGTAAATTATGTTCTCATTAGTGTCCAAAAGGATTATAAAGCAGAGCATGCTTTAGTTCTATGATTGACAAGTTATTATGTGAGAGTGCAGTGTCCCTCAGTTACCCAATCAGATACATCAGTCCCTTGTCATATCCTATTTCAAAGCACCAAGATGGCGAGAACCAAAATATACAGCTTTAGACTAGAAAGTGAGGTCTCACTAACCAAAGGGGACCTCCCCGTGGCTCTCTCCATCAGTTTTATCCAGTTTATGGAAATATTATACAACCTCATTTCTCACAGGACTCCCTCTATCCTCTCATCCAGGCTGTTTTTCTCTTCCATTACAATCTTCTCAATTTTGACAAGGGCTAGTAAAGTGTGTGATGTGCTGGCAAACTCACTGGGCCACTGTCCAACTTGACACACACACACATGCAGGTTTGGGTGACGGCTAAGGGGAAGGTCACCTTGTCTGGACTGTTGTATGTTTCGACTGAGTGGCTCAGATTGCTGTTCCTTTAGTCATTACCACCCTGGCTAATGCGTCCCTCATCAGCCCTCAAAGTGCCATGACCCTTTGTGTGTGACTCTCATACACACAGATACATGTTTATGGAACATGCTCTGTGATTAAATAGTTTTCAAGCTTTTGATTGATTGCCAGTGTTTGTTTTAGCACCAATGTGCCGAAACGATACACAGTAGAGAGAAGAGGACTTATTCTACTTTATTTTTATAGATTAATTAATGCATTAATGGGCTACCTGGCATGCAGCAAGAAGGAGTGATCAAAATAACCAAAGCACATATCCTGTTATAAAAATACTCTTCCTAGCTGCGTCGTGTTTCCGTGAAAAATGAGCATCAGTGTGTATATTGTCTTTTTTGCAGCCTGTGAAAATCTGTTGATGTTTAGTTCGTGACAGTACTTTAGAAAGCATGAAACATAAATGAGCAGTTTGGCCAGTTTGCTGCAAAGCAAGTCTCTCTACAGCGTTACTGGTAGTCTAAATACAGTTCGAATTTTTTGTATCAAAGCAATACAGAGTGGATAACAGTAATATCTGTGTGATGGATATCAGGGAATGTACCTGGATCCACTGTGTTTTTTCCAAAGCTTGCAGTTCAGTGTTTGACTCATTAATTGAATATTGATTTGTGAACACAAACGTGTCTCTTGTACTCTGCAAGTTAGGCATAATTGTTTGGATTTCAGTCAGGACGGCTATAATCGAAAGAAGAAGACCAGTGTTTGGCAAGAGGTATGACACTGATTAAGTCAGGAGGAGCATTAAAGAGGAGCTGGTGTGGATGTGAGCTGCAAAGTGGCTTGCAGTTGTGCAAATTGCTAAAGCAGCTTATATGTTGCTCTTTATAAGATTCGTGAGATTTGCAGAATGGCTGTGATGATGTGGCTGTCACCAAGATCAGCTGAGCTCCAGGATTGCAGCTGAGTTTGGTTTTGTGTTTTTGCTTAATCTGATTGTAGATTTTTGGGTATATTTCATTACCATTGGTGCATTACCTTAAGAGCCAGTACACAAGGTATTCAGTAGGTACAAATGTGCATTCTGAGTGGCTGCTGGAACTATTCAGTGTTCAGTGCCAAAAACCTTATGATAGCTTCAGAAACAGAACATTCACCTTCAGAGTAAAAAGTTGTGACTTACTGCTGCAAACTAATCTGCCATCGTCCAAAAGTTGATTCTGTTCATCTGGACGTTTTCAGTGGAAGAAACGTTTCGTCACTCATCCAGGTGACTGCAGGTTTCAATCTTATAAACAGTGCATCTGCATAATGACTGAAACCAGCCCACTGAAGGAACAATGGGCTGGGAGGTCAGTTCCTTCATCATGATTATGCAAATTGTCATGACCATTGATCAACAACCACTGATCAAAGTCAACTGATCAATGGCCATGAGTACCATTCACAGAGAGTTGGGGAATGGCTGCAATCACAGCATTGAAAGATGGTGATCTGCCAGTGACCAAAGCAATCACCCGGAGGTTTTTGGTGCAGCACCCTCTTTGTGACTTCCTGCAACCACTTGCCAAACGGTTGGGGAATGCACGTTACTAGCAGCAAGTAGCTGTCAGTAACGCGATGAGTGGTCTCTACATCTTTGCCACTGAGGTCACACCAAGTCAGCAAAGGTTTTCAAACAAGTATTACAGCAAATGCTGGAGCCGTGCTACCTAAGCGTGCTTACCCTTCTTCAGATGTAGGCAAAAATGACAAGCCCACAATACTTTTATTAATAATGTATACTTTATTAATCCTGTAGGAAATTACTTAGTCCTCTGCATTTAACCCATGCACTCAGTGGGCGGCTACCGGGGAGTAGTGTAAAAACTGTACCTTGCTCAAGGGTACTTCAGGGTAGCCGTTCGCTCATGGGGCAGACACTCCACCTACTGAGCTATCCCTGCCCCCTAAAACTGAAGGGCCGCGGGTAGGAGTTGAACCCGCGCCGCCCACTGTCAGGGCGCCTGCTCATCTTGCTTGAGCTAAACCGGCGCTCATTAACCATGTGTGTTATGATAACTCGTCGTATCTCAAATGTCAGTCAGTCATTTATTTATTCCCCAAAATTGTCCACCCTGCTTAAAATTATTTATACATAAAAAAAAAAAAAATAGAAAAATATATGAATGAACTGTGTAGTATAATAGTGCTAAAGCGTGAAAGAGTTCCCCCGCCCATTTTAAATAAAGTGATTAATGACAACGAGCAATACTTACTACTTGAAGCTGGATCACTCTGTTTGGGGGGGGTTTGGCCTCTACATCATAATAATAATAATAATAATAATAATAATAATAATAATAATAATAATAATAATAATAATAATAATAATGATGTTATTATTATTATTATTATTAACAACAACAACAACAACAACAACAACAACAACAACAATAATAATAATAACTTTTTTTATAG